AGGAATATGGTTCTTCTTACATATTTGACTGTATTAGCTGTAAAAAATCATATCTGAATTTCCCCGTGTATGCAATGCTCATAGTTACAGCTGAGTTATTGATCATAACATTATTAGGACACATGTTGTGTGAGTGTGTATGTTGTCATAATAATAGGGATTTGGGGGAACAGAGTAAATCTACCATATAGAAAATTTAGTGTAATATAGTTAAACTGTTAAGAGTTCTTAAAATAACCCCTTACTTACTTCAAACCACATCCTGTACAAGTTTAAACTTTATTTCACTTCCTATTGCCTTAAGCATTCAGGTCCTGTTCTTTCAGGGGCAGCTCAAACTGGCTTCAGTTCTTTCCACTTGGTGATTTTTAGAAGAATAATCCTGCTTTTTTACCAATACATATTTTTGAGAATCCTTGGCACTTCTGTTTAGCATTTCACTAAGAAATGGCTTAAGGTTTGGGTTTTTTTGTCAATCAAATATTTACTTTAAATTAGGAAGAACAAAGTAGCTGCTGACATGTATTCCAAAGCCAGAATTTAAATTCTCACGCTTTTGAAATTAAAACTAAGTTATAAATGAGCTTGATAATAAAGGGAGTAATTTACTTCTAATAATTACAGAAAATACATTTTTGTTCTAAGAACTACTTTAAAACTGTTCTTAAGAAGCAGGATATGCTTTTCATATACGTAGATAAAAGCAGCTGAGCTAAGGAGGTTAGATAAACTTGCTGAAAGATGTTTGTTTGAGAGCTGCAGTGAAGTTTCATGAGATACTGGCTCACAAAGAGGGTACTTTCCTTACTATGAAAATAGAAAAGGAAGTTTACAAGTTGTTTGCATGGGATCAGGGAGGAAGCGTTGCTTATCTGAGAAGAATCCCACGCACCATGTAGTGGCACAATGTTTTAAGACTTAGACAGATCTATGCTGCCAAAGAAAGGGAAGAGAAATCAACCTCCTTCCTTAGTGCGTGCCTGTCCCAGTGTGGGAACTCTGAGCAGGATCCCAAATGTTCTGTAAAAGCTGGAAGCAATGGAGAAAAGAGCCAGCCCGGTTTTGAAGGGTAATTACTCCAGATTTCTAACCAGAAATCTTACTATGAGGTATTAGCATGCTGAGCAGCATAAACTGCCCTTGAGTTCTTTCTTAGCTTCTGCTGTATTGGAAGGACTTTGGGATCCCTGATGCCAGGGAGCTCCAGAAGGATCATATGGAGGCATCAACTTTCCGTTCAGGTTGTTCCAGATAGATACAGGTCAGATCTCCTTTGGATCCCAG